CCAAAACTGTGTTATGTGGACACCAGAGGTTCATGAGATATTCAAAGGTGAATAGTCAAAAATTAGATTTCTATGCTTAAATAAATCGTGGAATAAGTACATTAAAGTGGAGTAAGCTGCTTTGCTTCTGGGTTCCTCAGAATCTTTCAAATATTGTGTTTTTTTTTCAGTTCACAAGATATGTACAATACATAGCCTTAGCTAAAGATATTTATCATGCTGCTTTGTTTTTTAATTAAAAATGCCCAATTTTCACTTTTCAGGAAGGGAAAATAGTTCAAAGTAAATTTGGGGAATGCTTACTCTGTTTTTTGGTATCCATTTTAATTACAAATAAAAATGGGGAATATGCAAAAATTAATTATAAAGTTAGCCAGAGTATCCCTGTCTTCATGTATACAGGTAAAGAATATACATGTATGAACTGTGGCAATATATATGTCATGCAAATTCTGTCTGTGTATAATGCGTGTCTCTTTAAATATTGAAAACTCAGTGTCTGACCAGGCTTCATTCCGCTCCCGTCGTCCGCTGAGCTGCAGCTGGGTGCTAAGAGCTCATTAGTGTGACAGTCATTTGTGGAGTAGACAGGCCCCACATGACCTCCTTTCTCACTGAAGAATGGGGACCAGAATGATTAAAAGACTCAGTGGAGATCAAGCCGCTTTAGGGTTACTAGTTAGCCAGGTCTGCTATTCTGCCCATTATCTGACATCAGGGGAGGGACAACATGTGTGTTTGAAGTCTTTATAGGGCTGAATGTGGGAGATTGAGGCAGGAGGTTCATGAGTTCCAAAATATCCCTTGGCCAAAGCTACCCTGACACAAAACCGAGAAACCAACCAATGAGAATGAACATACAAAAGAGCCAATATCCCCAGGCTTCAGCATGCCAGCCTGGGGATATTCTTATGTTTCCTGGTAGCATCTTGGGATACCTAGAGCTTAGTATCATACGTCCAAAGCCCAGAGAGATGAAGGGAGGTATGCAAGAATGGAATGGCACTGTGGGAATTGTGAGTGGCAGGGAGAAATCACCCCCTCTCCTCTTTGGGTTTGTTGGTTAAGGGCCTGCAAACTTAACTGACAGGAGACCAGAGAAAAGCTGCCCACATTTCCTTTTTATGAGATTTAGAAAGCATAGGCCAGAGAGGTGAAACATAGGAATTGATGTTAACAAACTGACAGGGTGTGGCTTTGAGGAATGGTGCCGTAATGTAATCCACACGATAGTGTAGAAGAATTGTGTCCAGATCTCTAGTGGGGACTCTGTGTGTCTCTAGTCACTGGCCAGTATTTTCCTCATTTGTAGTATGCTGGCCAAGGTTTATGAAGAAAGATAAGTGAGCTGTGAGCTTTCCAGTGATATTGAATATTATAAAAAATGTTATGAAAACAGAAGTTGGGAAAAGCTGACTACAGTGAGTAGAACTGTTCTGAGCATACCAGGAAAAGTGGGTTTGGAAAGGCAACTTCCAAAGGGAGAAGGGGACCAGCGTGTCGACGCAGAAGATGCCTCACAGCTCCACATCCCTTGATGTGTCTCCTTGTCACATCAATCACTGACAACAACAAAGTTGTTGATGTCTTCCTCCTACTCAAGTCATTGTCAGTGAAGACAGGAAGACACAGAAACAGTGTATCTGAAATTCTGAACTAGCGTCTGAAATAGTCAAGAGATCAGATGGGCCACTGAACACTTTCTTTCCTTTGCATTTTATCACCTCCACTTTTTTCTTCTTCCTTAAAGGCATTGAGCTTTTATACAAATAAGAATACCTTTATTAGGAAGAAGAACAAGAACTATAAAGGAAAGCTATCCAAGGGATAACATTTGTAGCCAAAAGGTTACAGATTCCTCAGTAGTCTGCGAATGTTTTAGATTAATAAATATTTACAGCTAGGACTTTCTGTCCCACAACTCCAAATGGAAAGCACTTCAGTGTCCTCATGCTTCTGCTTAGGTGAAAAATCACTTGAATATAATTTTCCCTTTGTTTCTGGTCACCATTATTTTTTATGAAATTGGTCCTCCACCCAGATGGTGGGGTACTGAGTAAATTCCACTTACAGTTGTCAACCTAACAAGCAAGTGAAGGCAAGGGTGAGCACAAACTTATTGAGGCAGAAAGAGGATGGAGAAAACATGCACATATGCTTCCTTAAATAACATCTAAGGAACTCGAGTTTTTAGTGCAGCAAAACACTGCAGGAAAGCCTATAAGCATTGGCTGACAAAGACAGCAGGAGACCTTAATTGGTTGCTGGTCACTTACACAATTCAGCTAAGAAGTGTTATATGAAGTAAAGGCTTTTCCTGGGGTTGTTTATTATCTTTGTGGCATCAGGGAGTCTACAGAAGCCTCCTCTGATAGGTCTAAGGGCCCTCACTGACTGCCTTCTCCTGCTTCATGTCTCCCTCTGCCAAATCATTTTGTGACTTCATTTTTTGGCTCTTAAAAAATCTTTTATCAGGGCTCTAGTGACTCCTCAGGTGGTGTTTCTTGGGTTGCCTTCCATCAGACACTGAGAGTTTGAGGTGAGGTTTGTGTCCCCTGGCTTCTCTCCTGTCACTCATGCCCTGGAGAGAATGGCAGTGAGATAAACTACCATCACCTGGACCTCTGTGTCCCAATCACTTCTTTGTTGTGCTGTCTCCTGTCCCAGCCAATCATATGCTCAAACCCAAAAGCTGGACTCCTCCCTCTTGTAAATCCTAATGTTTCTAACTGGTAAGCTTCTCTATTTCTTACATTCACACTGCATACTGAAGCAGTTTCCTACCATGAACATTAATCTAATCTCCTGTCTTCTTATTTTCCATTTACCCTTGCTGTAATGTGTGGGAGGCATGGACTTCCTCTGTTTAGAATCTTTCAATACTTTTGTCAGGTGTTGTGTCACAAGAAAAACGACTAGCACAGTCCTCATCACATTTCCAGTCTCTTAAGTCCTCTACACTTCCGGAGAATTTCCTTGGGAAAGATGATATAGCAAATCCTTTCCCTCTGTTTTATCCTCTGCCATTTAAATGCTTTTTGGCTGGGCCTGATGGGAGACACTAGCCCGTGCTTCTGCAGACTTGTTTCTGTGTGGTCATCCTCCATGGCCCCGCTGCTTTCACCCCCTTTTCATGGTTGATGTATCACATTATAGTTAATGGTTTTATTAAGAATGTTTGGACTCTGTAAGTATGGAAATCTTTGCTTGTAATTCTTTGTAACCCCAGTTTTAGGAGCAACGGAACACACAACGTGCATTCTCCTGGCCACCTGGATCCAGAGCCTTGTCAGTTCCAAATGAGCACCCAGGACACGATATTAATTATGAAGCTGTTGGCCATTTGCTATGGTTTCTTAATGGCTAGCTCTGACTTAATTACTAACCCATAATTACTAATATATATTTTTATAAGGTCTTATCTTACTGAGGATGAAGCCTCATGCATCCTCTCTTCCCAGGATCACTCCCTACTCTTGACTACATTTCCCAGAATCCTCCTCTACTCCTAGTCCCACCTGTCTTGCTTCCCTATTGGCCAACAGCACTTTATGTATCAACCAATCAGACTAACATATACACAGAAGGCCTTCCCCCATCACACTCAAGTTAACAAATCAAAATGCAAACTTTTATGAAAAATATGTGTGTGTGTGTGTGTGTGTGTGTGGTGTGTGAGCTTGCATGTGTGTTTAAGGCTTAAAAGAGGATATGAACAAATGGAAAGGCATATTGTATTTTCATAGAGGAAAATTCAGCTACACAGAAGATTTTTTCTAAGGAAATCTATACATGTAACATAATCTCTACAATAATATTACATAAAAATTTATACTGGGTAAACTGAACCCAACATTCTCATGGAAAAATGAATTAAAGGGGGACCTAAGAAAGGAAGAATAATGCATGGTGAAAAAGAATACCCTAGATATTTTTGGTAGTGTGTTCGCTTACCATGCACAAAACCCCAGCTGGCTCTGACCCCTGAATCAATCCTAGCCTTCAGGGGTAGAGGCAGGAGGGTCAGAAGTTCAAGGTCATGCTCAACTACATAGCAAGTCTGAAGCCAGTTAGGGTTACTAGAGAATTTGTTTTAAATAGCATCAACAATGACACCAACAAGGAGATAGATATATGGAAAGAGAGAGAGAGAGAGAGAGAGAGAGAGAGAGAGAGAGAGAGAGAGTCAGAGAATAAACTGGGACATATAATGAAGATTAATTATATGACTAAGATAGCATCTGTTATGTAAAGATCCATAAGTGGTGATGGGTCAATTGGTCCATTTTGAAAACTCAGTGTTGTGTTACACCATGCTCCATGACCATCAACTAAAGACGCAAATATGAAGAAAAAAATAGTAAAAGAAAATGCTTTACTAAGCTGTGGAGACATCTTTTCATAGTCTCAGAAGAATGAGGATCTTCCTAGCTATGACATAAACATCAAGAATTTCTACATATAAAGATCAATATAAATAAATTCAAGAAATAACCAACAATTCAGAAATATTTGTGTTATAAATGCAGGGTTTATCTATTACCTCTCTTCCCACCCCCTTTCTTCCTTGTGTGCACATGCATCCAAGAGAAAATGCTCATATTTGAGAAACATATCAGCTATGGAGTAGTTAGTGTGAATATGTTCTTCTTCACCTTGCATTCTGGAGCAGAATAAGCCCCAAACTTTTCAGGAGGGAGTTTTCTCACATGTGGCCACGTGTGCTGGTCTGTAGAAGCAGGTGAACGTCCAGGTTCTGGCCACCAGTGACTGAAGATTCGTTTTTACTTGGCAACTGCTCTCACTAACTGTAAACAGTCAATAGTCCATCAAAGGATAGCCAAGTGCACCATGTTCCAAGGACACAATAGTTAATATTTTTCCTTATGTTTCTTTAATATTGGTTTATCTTCCCAGCCCCAGAAGAAAACAAAAACAAACAAGCAAACCCACTATGACTCAAGGGAAAAAGAGCTCTGAAAGACTTTGAGATGAGGAAATGCTACTTAGATTTGTACCATTTAATCAATAAATGAAGTGTATACTCATTAAAGTTACTGACAGTGAGGAAGTTTTTAGCTTGAAGTACAGAATTGAGACTTAAAGAAGGGACTGGTTTGACACTTGGTGCCAGTGGCACCAGAATCCATGGTGAACAGCAATGGCACTGCAGTGAAGGAGCTGGTTTGCAGTTCTTTGCTTAGAAGTTCCGTTCCTACTTGGAGAGCCGAAGGAAGAAGCCATACAAGGAGTTAATTTATCGTGCTCCATCTGTGTGACTATGAGACCCATTAGACCCGCCTGGACCAGCTGCCCCTGTCTGTGGTCTGGGCCAACCACCTCTTCCTGGGTTGCAGTCACAATTACAACCTTCTGGACAAGGTGATGGAAATGGCTGATGGGATTGAAGTGGAAGATGAGCCACAGTTTACAACCAGAAGTGAATTAATGGAAAAGCATCACAGCTAAGGCAGATTTCCCACGTTCTTACCCCTGGGACAGGCTTCCAAAGGAGGCCAGGGTGAGTCATGGCAGCTCTTGAGATGCCTGGTATTTGCAGCATAGAAGCAGCTGGAATGGAAAGGAACATGGCTGCAAGGGCTTCAGTGAAGTCTTGGCTCTTCCAGAAGCGGTTGCTGTAAAAGTACACGTGCATATTTATGTATTTAAAAATGGCCAGCTCTGAGAAATTTCATCAGCATTGCCCATGCCAAACTTTGTAATACCTTTTATGTTCATATGCAATGACAGGTGATGCATTTCGTAATATTATTTTTTAGAAGAGTATTTTTAAAGGTAATTCTGTTTTTTTGGTCCATCTCCACCTTTTTCATTTGTCTTCTGGAGGCAAGTCAGATCTTCCGCGTCCTTATTTCTACCTGAACCCTCTCTGTACTTGTACCTCACTGCTGATGTCTGTAGAAAGACTGTGCACGAATACTGCTAGGTTGTGCTACTGGAGCATCTCCAGCCCTGGACTCACAGATCTTGGTGTAGGAAATGAGAATTGTGTTGCAGACCTGAAGTAGCTGGGCTAGCTCATAGGAAGAGGCAGATTACAAACAAGCATCTGTCTTATTTTAAAATTCCTGGAGGCTAGAAATGTAGCTCAGGGGTAGAGGGCTCAGTTAGCATGCTTGAGGTCCTGGATTTGGTCCTCAGTATTGCAGAGAAAAAGAGAGAGGGAGAGAGAGGGGGGGAAGGGAGGGAGGGAGAGAGGGGGGAGAGAGAGAGAGGGGAGAGAGAGAGATTGCTTATATGCCTATGTTCTCTTCGTTTCTAGCAGGTTTCAGACTTGAAGAACTGCCTCACACATCTCTAGACTGTAGTGCAATCCCACTTTGCTCTGCAATGGTGGTATTGATATTCCACCTGACAGCTGATGTATCTGTTCTGAAACCCATTCCACTTCCTTTTTGTTTCACCATTAGGTAAATGCCTGAACTATGGGCATCCACGGAGCAATGGACCACAGCAGGACTCATCAGTAGCAGGCCCATTATGGTCAATAAGACAGTGGGCTCTGCCTTAGCTTCATCTACTGAATACAGGAAATTTGATACCCAGAAGTTGGGACTAGTGGTGTCCCGAGTCAGAGCAGTGGGACAACATTCTTGCTTGTGATATGTGATGAAGGCCACATCTTCATATGGTTCCTTGCTCCAGTACCACGTGTGGTAGGGTAGACCATGTCAAGATCATGATTGTAACCTCAGACAGAGTCCTCCAGGAAATGAAGGTCACCGTGCCAGTCACGGAGGATGATGGGAAGGTAGTGACTGCTAGTGGGTTGGGCTCCCTGCTCACTGAGACTTAACCACACCCTCTCCTCAAATGCATCATTGCCTTCTTCCATTCTGATCCTTTGAGCAAATTTGTGAGGTTTAAGAACAGAATGAAAAATTTCAAATGAGCTTTCTATAGATTAATTGTGGATTTCATTTTCCCTGTGCAACCACCAATAAAATAGCTTTTCCTTGGTGGAAAAAGATCTAAAGATGATTCTTACCAATTCTTCTCTGACCTGCACACTTGTGTTGTGGCACCTGCAAACACACACACACACACACACACACACACACACACACACACACACACACACACGGTTAAAAAAATAAAGTAAGACTTAAAGACAGATGCCCCCTCCCTGATAGTGTAACCCTTTAATCCAGCACTACATAGACTCAAAAAACAACAAAAACCCAAACAAACAAAAAACCAAACAAACCCAAAACACCCCCCCCAAAAAAAACAGAAGCAGACAAGCTGAAAATTGAATAGATTAAGCCATGCTTTACAAACAAGACTGACTAAAATAAAACCAGTCTGGGCGTGACTTGCACAGTTGTGACGAGGCCGTACTGTGCTGTGGGAGGGACAAGTGGCATTGAGAATTAACATCAGAGCCCAGGTAACCCCACAGCTGCGAGTCAAGCTCCAGTTCTTTCTCCGAGACTTTCCGGAGCTCTTCCCGTCCTCACAGCAGATTTTCATTGCTGTGTTTTACAGGAAGTTTACTCTCACCATATGGTGATGCACCATTCACTTTCTAAGTCTTCCCACCCCATCCCTTGATAGAATCATCTTATTTTTCCTTACCAACTGAATTTGTGATGGAAATCATCTCAGGTTGTAATTTCCTGATGACGCAGCACTGTGAACACAGCAGAAGGCCTTGCATGGTGCACGTTACTGGATTTTAACGGCAGCCGTGTGGGGTTTATTCTAAGTCTTGCATTTATAGTTAGGTGGAAAAACTTCGTGTGACTAAAATCCATTTGCTTTTGCAAGTGTTGCTTTAGGATTCGTTCTGGCATACAAATACACCAACAGCAATGTTATTTTAGAGGTCGGTGAGGCTGAGATGGCCTAGCAGGCGAAGGTACTCACTTGCCCAAGTCTGGAGACCTGAGTTCAATCCCCTTCTGCCTTGTAACTCTTTCTACAAAGTTATCCTCTGGTCCTCACACACACATGCTGTAGCGTGTGTACTCCCCAAATACATCATGTGCACACATACACCCAGTAATAATAAATCAAAAAAAGAAAATTATTTTAGTTTTAGGTTAGCACTTATGGATAGGGAGTCTAATTTCATATTAAAGAGTATTTGTGATCATCAGATTGTAACCTATTTATTAAAGTTCTGAAATTTACTTATTTCAAATTAAATTGAGTGAAGCAAGATTTTCAGTTCAGTTTATGCTTGGCTTACAGTGGGGGTGGGCTCACTGAAATTCACCTGTGATATTTCTACGGGAATGAAAAGAAATTAGGTATTTTCTTTGCAGAAAGGAAGAGCGCACGGATGCACCCAGATGTGACGTGAAATGCGCATACAGTGCGACGCTGGCAATGGACTTCATTAGTACTTCACACAGCAGACAACGCATGTCTCAGAGGGAGAAGCCCGGTTCTTGCTGACTGAGGTCCCTCAGCAGCCCTGAGATTCTGCTGTCTGCCTGTCTAGGCAGTGACTGGGGAAGGTTCTATGCAGGTGCCCCACAGCTGCCCCACAGCTGCAGGCTGCTCATTAGGGAAAGGCCTAGAGCTAACAAAAGGCAAGCTGGGGAGGGAACTCCCGAGTTTGCAGCCTCTGGTCTACAGACGCCTCACTTAGGGACTAAGCAGTGTGGTTTGAAGGACAAGGCGGCACACCTGCCCACAAAGTAAGTGACCAAGGAAGGAAGGCTTTCCGGGAAGTGGTTCTCCCACCGCTCCTAAACCAAGAGGATTCTTTTTGAGCAAATCCTGTTCTTCACAGTTTCCTACATGTGCACTTATGCGTTTTCTCTCTTTCCTCCATCGTCTTAGTTTTTCCTCCCACCCCTTCCAGGCCCACCTCGTCCTTGAGCCCCTTTCCCTATTTTCTAGCTAGGGCTTTGTTTAGTGTCCCACAGAGTTTAATCAGGATTGCGTGTGTGATCCTGAGATTGGAACTAACCATTTGTGTGCTTTGTAAATTAGTTCACAGTAACTCGGTGGTGTGCGAAACCGATTTTACAACTGCATGTTTTAAAATGTTTGAGCTTCTATTTGCTAATGCATTTATTGCTTATTTATTTATTTATTTACTAGTCTTTCCTATTCCAGTTTAGTCTCAAACTTGCTGTGTAGTAGAGGATGGCCTTGTATTGCTGACTTCCTGACTTGGCCTTGATGAAGCTTGAAAAACAGCTGTGTACCACCACACCTGGTTATCCCCTGCTGGGGCGTGAGCTCAGGCTTTCATGAATCCTAGGCATGCTCTATGCCAGCTGCATCCTCAATTCAGAGTTCCGTTAGACTGTTTTCCAGTACCCCTCGCTCTCTTTCAGACTTAATTTATTCTTATTTGTATGTGTATGAATGTTCTGCCTGCCTGTATGTGTGTGCACACATGAATGTCTGGTGCCCATGGAAGTCAGAAGAAGGCATGGGATCCCTTAAAACTGGAGTTACAGATACTTGTGAGCTGCCATGTGGATGCTGGGAATTAAACCTAGGTCCTCTGGATGGGCAGTCAGTGCTCTTAACCAATGAAACATCTCTCTTTTTAAGGAGTCTCACTGTGTGACTATATTTTTGTAATAAATCCTTTGAGGGAAGTGTATGCTGTCCCATGAATCCACTTAATTGCGTGTGCTACCTACTTAGATTGTTCAGCTACAAAACTAATTTATTTCTCCTATAGAACCTTTCTAATGTAAAGATAGACCCAATGGGGAAAAAGCACCTGTACTTCCATCCCTCAAAGACTATTATTATTTTTTAAGTTTTTCTTCTTTTTGAGACATGTGAAAGCTATGTAGACCAGAATAACTCTGGACTCAGGAGCCTCTGTCTCGGTCTCTCGGGTATGGGGATTATAGTCAAGCTGTACCTCTCCTAGCCCCTTTAACCAGTGTTTTAATATTGGACTTAAAACAACATCCTTTTAAAGTCAGTATGATTGCAAAAATTTATTTATTCACCTGCTCATTTGTTCATTCAACAAACTACATACTTGGACTTTTGTTAGATACTGAGAACCTGAGTGTCCTAGAAAAGTAAGGCCCGTGCCCTTCTAGAGCCTGGATAGCTGGGAAAGATAATTACTAGATACTCAAAGAACTCCAGAGGTTGAGGCGTGAGGGTTACCCATGATTCCAGGCCAACCTTGGCTACACAGAGAGGCTCAGTCTCAAAAAACAGACAAAACAAAAGCAGTTAGCAAAGTCTGAAAACACGGCAAAGACTTGGTCTAGGGTAGCTCCTCCTGGAAGTTAAAGGTATAGTTTAATGAGCACTATTTGTTCAGCTTAGGGACAGGAGCACTGGCCTGCACGCCTTCATGAAGAAGTCTATCTGCCTTCTGGTTTAGAAACAGTATCGTAAGGGGCGTGGTGATATCTTATATATGAAATTAACAATGGAGTCTAGAGAGTCCTTCTACCTGCTATTTAAAAAAGCACATCTACTTGTTTAGTTGTCAAATCCCAAGCTTGTCTTTTTGGTAAGGATGTTACTATGTTTCCCTTGCTGGCCTGGGCTTCTTGGGTGCCCCACTTCAGCCGCTGGAGCAGCTGGGATTATTGTTGTGTGTACAACTAAACCTTGCTCACCTGATGAGTTTTAAGTACTTGTAGGTCAAAATGATATTTGTGCTAAATGCCTTTTTTCCTCTTTTCTTTTCTTCCCTCCCATATTCCCTCTTTTCTTTCTTCCTTTTTTAAAGACTGGGTCAATATGTAATATGTAGTTCTGGTTGTCGTAGAACTTGCTATATAGACCAGACTGACCTCAAACTCACAATGATCTACCTGCCTCTGTCTCTCCTGTGCTGGGATTAAAGATGTGTACAACCATCAACCATGCCCAGCTAAAGTGACATGTTTTGTGTTATTATTTTTCATCTTTAATGGTCAATAATATTTACATTAAAAATTTTAAATTAGAAACAAGCTTGTTTTGCATGTCAATTCCAGTTTTCTCTCCTTCTCCTCCTCCCCTGCTCCCCAAATAACCTTATTGCATCCCCTTTCTGCTTCCCAGAGAGGGTGAGGCCTTCCATGTGGGAATCTTCAAAGTCTGTCATATCATTTGGGGAAGGGCCTAGGCCCTCCCCCGTGTGTCTAGGCTAAGAGAGTATCCCTCTACGTGGAACAGACTCCCAAAGACCATTCGTATAGTTGGGATAAATACTGATCTACTACCAGAGGCCCCATAGATTGCCCGGGCCTCCTAACTAATACCCACACTCAGGGGTCTTATGCTGGCTTCTCAGCTATCAGTCTGGGGTCCATGAGCTCCCTGCTTTGTTCAGGTCAGCTGTTTCTGTGGATTCCTCTAGCTTGGTCTTGACCCCTTCGCTCATCACTCCTCCCTCTCTGCTACTGGGTTCCAGGAGATCAGCTCAGTGTTTATCTGTGGGTGTCTGCTTCTGTTTCCATCAGCTATTGGATGAAGGCTCTAGGTTGGCATATAAGGTAGTCATCAATCTCATTATCGGGGAAGGGCATTTAAAGTAGCCTCTCCACTATTGCTTAGATTCTTAGTTGGGGTCATTCCTGTAGATTTTTGGACATTTCCCTAGTTCCAGACTTATCTTTAAACCTATAATGTTATGGCATCTCTTCTTGCTCTCCTCTGTTCTTCTCCCGAATCAATTTTCCTGCTCCCTCATGTCCTCCTCTTCCCTTCCCTTCTCCACTTCTCTTTCTCCTAACTCCTTCTCCCCTCCCCCCATGCTCCCAATTTGCTCAGAGATCTCATCCCTTTCCCTTTTCCCCTTCTCTGGGGGACCACATATGTCTCTCTTAGGGTCATCCTTGTTTCCTAGCTTCTTTGGCAGTGTGGATTGCAGGCTGATAATCCTTTGCTCTATGTCTAAAATTCATATATACAGTGAGTACATACCATGCTTGTCTGTTTGTTACTGGGTTACCTCACTGAGGATGGTTTCTTCTAGTTCCATCCATTTGCCTGCGAATTTCAAGATTCCGTTGTTTTTTTGTTTTTTTCTTCAGTTGAGTGGCATCTAGGTTGCTTCCAGGTTCTGGCTATTACAAATAATGCTGTTATGAACGTAGTGGAATAGATGTC